CTAAACAATATTTGCTGCTTTTTCTTTCTACAAGAATTCACGCCACAGCTCAGTTGTAGCTCAACCGAGTTGTAGCTGAGTTAAAAAAAAAAGTTTGAAGGAAATCTAATTTTAACGTAATTCTTACTGCAGCATTTCCTTCGTTATCCTAACGGATATAATGAGAGTCCAGTTTAAGCCGAATCGAGGATGCACCCTACATGAATTCTGCGGGCTGGACGCCACGAAGTGGCGGGTCCGTTCGCTGCTGGACCGCGATTTCGTCACCGGCGGTGTTGACGTCGTCGAGGAAGCCGAAGCACGCGCGGTTGGAAATCCAGCCTCCGCTCCGACAGCGGTTCGATCAGCGACGTGCCTGGCGAATAGTTCTCTCTCGATCGGCGTCCAGGTGAAAACAATCCCCGGCCGATATTCTATCGTCGAAGGTGGAGTCGCTCGCTCTGCGGCCTTTGCTAACTGTACAAATCCCCTTCGCCGCGCGCGCTCTAGCGCGGTCCCTTCTCCTCTCTTCCTCCTCCTTCTCCGCCGCTCATACTTGGCCTCCTCTCCTCTTACCTGCTTGATTTTCTGCCTTTCTCTCGGTTCCTCTCCCGTCGTCCTTATTCCCCGATCGCGCCGCGATTCACGGATACCCCCTTTTCCGCGTCCTTTTTATCCCCACCGCGTGGTGGACGGAAAAGGAAGAGAAGAATCGGTGAGAGAACGAAGAAAGAAAAACAGAGAGAGAGAGAGAGAGAGAGAGAGAGAGAGGCGCGCCGAGCCTTCGGCATTTTAGCGTTGCTCTTTTATAGCCTGCACACGGTAAACGTTCGCCTTGTTGCGGGAGAGAGGGACCTTTTGAACCATCTCTGACGGGATGGACGAGAACGAGAACCTCTCAGAGGGATTGGCTCGAACGCGTCGCACTGAGACTCTTCGGGAGCGATTTGTAGTAGAGGATAGACGCTAGACCTTGATATTCGACGATCGAGCGTCGTTTGTTTCCCTTTAATGGATTATTGTTTTAAATCGAATGTTTTAAATCGAAAATTATACAGCGACTTAATAGTTTACTTTCATTTTATTCAGAATTGAATTTTTCTTTTATTTTACAAGTATATGATATAGAATTTTGAGAAGTGCAATCGCGGACGGAAAGACCATCCGCTATATTCTGATGAGAGATGAAGCGGTCCTCGAAACTCGAAACTACGAAGGGGGTATCTTGTATCGTTTTTATGAAAGTGGACGCATTTTATCGTATGAATAAAAAAACCGGACGTTGCTTTCTCCGGCGAAGTTTTCTCCTGGAAGTGTAATTGTCGAAGTGCGTCTCCTCATTGTATAACGATCACGAGATGGTAGGCGCGACCGGCTCGCCTCGCGGAGTCAAGTTTTCCGCGCTGGATTTATCCGGAGATCAATTAGAGAGCCGACATCGAAAGGTCACAGCGTCTTCGAGATCGATCTCGGCACGAACGAAATGTCAGGAAAACCAGTGACGTAATCTCTCTCTCTCTCTCTCTCTCTCTCTCCCTCTCTCTCTCTCTCGCTGCCGATCGCGATGCCGATCAAAGGCGAATCGTCTTAGCGAGTTACGTAGTCCTTTCGGGACCAAGTTGTCGACCCTTTGGAGCTGGCGGCCGAAGGTCAGGTCGTGAGGATCTCCAGGTCCGTTCGGCACCCCGATAGAGAGAGCGAGAGAGAGAGAGAGAGAGAGAGAAAGAGAGAGACGAGAAAAAAGACTCGCCCCTCGGGTCGTAGTGATCGGTGGGGCTTTAACCGGCACAGACTATAGGCTCTCCTTACTCCAAGGCGCTTCTCTCTGTCTCTCTCTCTCTCTCTCTCTCTCTCTTTCTCTTTCCATCTTTCTCTCTCCATACCTTCCACTCTCCCGTGGCGGAGGCCGCATACCTCCTTAGGATGCAGTGTAGACCTGTCCATTGGCTGGCAGACACCGGTTGGTTCTTTTCGGTCCGAAACGAACGACGGACGCCGATGTGAGGCCGCGACTCTCGAGAATCACAGTTCACCTCCGTTCGCTCCTCTTCGTCACCTCCGCGTCCTCTTAGTTACCTGTCCGCAGGTAGCCGCGTACCATGCGGATCCAGCGCGGTTTCGCGTGCTGCGCGTCCCAGTGAACACGTATACCGTCGTGTGCTGGCGGGAATATAACACGTGCGGTGCTGTGAGGACACGATGAGGTGATAACGTCGATTGTGCTTGCCAGCGCGAGATCTCGCAGCGACTTTGGAAGGTGAGTTTGCACGTGCGGCAGGTCGAGGCAGCATCTCATCGGTCATCGGCCTCATAGATGATAATTACCGAAAACGTTTACTTGGATACCTGCCCGCGCCGCCCTGCTCCGCGTGACGCAGAGTCTTTGTTCCCGACTGTGGTCTGTTCTGGTTTGTGCCGCGAGCTGTCGTGCGGGTGTTTTGGGAAACATCAAATGCTGACTCTGAGGTTCGTTAATCTTGGATAATCAATGAATCGGATTGTCGTGTCCTTCAATCTTCGCTTCAGTCGCTGTCGATCGCCTGGTCTTGAGAAGTCCTTCGAGAGGATCCTTCCGCCTTCAACGGCCCAAATTTCCGGATGATGTGCGGCTTCCGTGAGGTCGTCTTGTTTTTTGAAAGCAATCCGCGACTTGTCCCTTCGATTGAGTTTGTCCATCAGATTCTGCACAATTGTTAATTATTCAGGGTCTTCGTTGGTCTTGATTCGATTGTTGGGTCACCCTCGACGAGTGTCCGAAATCTATTCGCACGTCCGAAGGAATCTCACAGCGACGAGGAAAGTAGCAGGATCGGCTTCTGGAGTCGAGCGCGCGCGCTAATCGAGGAATCGAGGTCGTCGATTGAGGATATCGTCTCGTCGGCGATTTCCTGGCGCAACGGTATCACCGCGCTTCTCCTTTTGTCCGGTGCCCGTGGAACGGTGACACGAGGACGACGTTAGAACCAGTCGGAGTCGCTATCCGCTTTCAAGTCTACCTACGCTTTGCGCACAAATTGCAAGTTCAAAAAGACTGCAATCACGAACAATGTCGGCAGGACGTGGAATCGCTCGATTCTTGCGTCCTCCAACACCATTTCGACGTGTTATCGTCACGCGTCCTCGCGTCGACTGACCCTCCTCCGGGATTTCTGAAAGCCGACGAGCCCCCCAAAATTTCTGCGGATTGTCGAATAACACTCGTAAGCTCGACGTAGTCATGCAGGTCTGGCCGAATCGCCGTGGTCCTTTTCGTCATTCCGCGGGAGGAAACCAGTTTCGACCGGTGGATTTGCGAGTCAGCGAAGTCCTGGTTACAAGGAACCGGTGTCAAGTTCGCGAAACAGGAAAAGATGCGTGGGTGTCGATTTTCTGACCGCGCTCTTCTCGTGGCTCCGATCGTGGCGCGATTTCCGCCTATTAAGAAGACGCAGGATTGCCGAAATTGCTACTGAAAGAATGGGTGAAGAATGGGTCAAATTGCGAACCGTGTGCTAACGCGGAAGTGATGCCACTTCCTTTCTCTCTCTCTCTCTCTCTCTCTCTCTCTCTCTCTCTCTTTCTCTCTCTGTGTGACGACAGCAAAAGGACACTCGCGATAACGTTTCGACCGCAATTTACGATTTTGCTCGCGCGAGACGTCGCGTAGTCGCGACTCACATTGAAATCGCCGAGCTGGAAAATTTATACGATGCTGACTCTGCTATTCTTTCCTGCCGATGCCGTTTTTTTCCTCCGCGAAGGATCCCGGTTTACGAAAACCCGCGGTGATGAGGGAACGTCCCGCTGATCGGCAAGTTATGTATTTCGCAACAGGTGTCTTTTTCCGCGAAGCTGACTGATGAAAGTGAAGAGCCTCCCGCAAGAAGAAGATACGCGCTCAGCAGGATATTCCTTTTCTTCGTCATTCATCCTGGCATCACTTGGTCACGCAGTGTCAGGATTCCAAGAGCGTAACGTAACGGCCGGCAGCCGAAGGAAGAGGGGTGTAACGGTTTTTTTCTTTCTCCCTCGCTCCTTCGCTCCCTCGGCCACTCGCCGCTTCCGTCTCTCTCAACCTGACGAGTTACTTGTCCCACTTGTACTCCTGCCTCTCCGTTCCCCCTTCCTTCTGGTTTGATGTGATCTTGGAGTCGTTTCTAGGATAGACCTGACGATTTTGAACCTGACACAGTAATTCGAGTAATTCCAGTTATCGGGTTACCTCGATGCACACGAAAAGTAGGATTCTCTAATAAATGAAGAACTACTTCTGCGACCCGCAGAGAATCGTGCATTATATGCAATTCTCGAGTTGAATTAAAAATATCGGATAGCGCGATGTAAAAGTTCGCTGCGACGAGACATGTATTATCAATTACTATTGTTATTCGCAGCTGCTTTTGCTGACGGACGTTGATCAATCTCGAATTATCACTGCGATTGTTGCCGCATCATCGACTTCAACAGATGGACTACACATAGCGCTTACCGGTATTCCATTAATTTAGGCACAGATTAAACAATAAATCGGTGGAGATAAGCGTGCCAATTAACGCGTTATTAATAAATAACAATAATTAATAGTAATTAATAATATTATCAACTACGACACACATCGATCAAAGGACCAAAGGACGCTTCTCTTCTCATTTGCATCGTGGCGCCGGTAACTCGTGCATCAAAATTCTGCGGTCAGACGATTGCGTACGCGACGGCGGATCCGTTAGGAAGTCCCGTTACGACAAATTGATCTGTCGTAGAACTTCGCTGGCGGCGGCTGCCCCGCCAGGTAAACGACGACAATTAGATATAGAGTAACACAAGGCGACGCGTTGCGCAACCGCGGCGATCTTTCGCAAGGATGCGTTTCCAAACGCTTGAGCGTAGCAGCGAGCCGCGTTTCTCTCCTTTCTCGCGCGCACGCCGCGGTCGGTGCCATCATCCAATCTCGCGGTATCATTTTATACTTGGCTGGCAGTAACGGTCGCTTCTGTTTAAGGTTCCCTACGTGTCGTAATCCACGCGGCGAACATCGTGCTCTCGCGGCGCATCGTCGCGTCACGGTTTCCACCCGCAGTTTTCCGCGTTGCTTTGAGCGCGAAGGAACGGGCGAAGCGAAGGCTCGCTTCGGGATAACGTGCGATCCCATTAACGCCGCACACATCGTTCGACATACTATAAGAATGCAAGGAGTTGCGGTTTGCGAAATTTTCGCGCGATGGAAGACTGGGTCGCGGCGGTCTTCGAATCCGCGCGAGCTGTCCCGTTCCACATTCGACAATTAAGGATAATTGCCTCGCGTGGAGGAATGTCGCTTTTGGAGGACTGTAACTGCGGGCTTCCACTTTCATCGTGAGAGGAGATCAGGCCCCGAGTAGAAACTGAATCTCGTGAGTGTCTCGCCACAAGGCAGTAAATTTGTGCTTAACGTTGTTGACCAGCCAGCAATCTAATTACATTCACTTCTTCTGGCAGCTATAAAAATAAGTTAGCTGACAGCTGTATAAAAGAAACTACAGCGTAGAGGTGAAAAAAATTATCGCCATGCTATAAAGTATAATTTACAACCAATCACTATTACGACTATAAGTATATAATAAATTTTAAATTAAACCTTAAAGACACCAAACTATAAGTTACACATAAGTAATGTTCTCATTTCTGCCTCTTGAAACAACGTTTCTGCGATTGCTTATCTAGCTTACACTAGCTAACAGCCAACTTCAAAACCAGGTCGGCCTGTTTTTGTATTTCTACACGTTATGAAAAAGCCGACTTGGTGAGCGCTGAAAAATGACGCAGCTGCCGCATGCGGAAGGAAATATTCTCGAAGACGGAAACGCGTCTTGGCGTAATCGGCATACGCATCGGACGATGATTATCCGAATCTGCCTACAATCTACATCGACATCCGCGCGAGCTTCCAGTGAGAACCCGAAGAGAACTCTCGCGGCGAGCGTAGGCCTCAGCCAACACAGACACGTGCCCGCAATCATCAGGCAGCGTCTTCGCATCCTTTCGGAGCGCTCTGCCACATGCACTATTATGCGCTCACTCGTGCGTGCTCGTTCGCGTGTCGTATCCTCGCTGCAGGAGATTGCATTCTGCATCGCGCGTAACACGCGCTTCCTCCCGGTGCATAATGAGCCTTCTTCTTCGCGAGCTGTGCTCTCGGCTCTTGCTCGGTGCGAGCGAAGAGGGAGATCCGGCCGCGGGTATCAGTGACCGTAAATTTCCTCCCTCCGCCCGATTAATAATTACATCTGCCGAGGACAATCCTTCCTGATCCGCCGTGGCCGGCGGGGAACGCGGAAGTCGAGGTCGTTCTGCACGCACGAAGGCGTCGAGGAAATGCAGGGCCATTACCCCACGCTATGTCATTGTTGCTCTCGACGACGTCGCTCGCTCCTTCCTGGTGCCGGTGACGCTGGATCGCCTTATCTCGCCGGGAGATAATAACGATAAGACCCCGCCGATGTTGTTCCCCGGCGGATGCCGCGTGGGAACGTTAATCAGGGGGAACGAGCGGTCATGTGCGCGCTGCGCTCGTGTCTGCGTCAATGTCACAACCCCCGGCTGAGCGGGGGTTTCTTCAGCCGTCTGTGTCGCACAGATACTTTCGATTGCGCTTTGAAGATTGAGGATTTCGAGATTTTCAATGAGCATTCCCTTCAAGTTGAACTTGAGGTAATTCTGTTGCTTTCTTCAGCTTGTTTCTGCTGAGAAAAACGACTGCTCAGTTTATTATTCTTCTGTTATAAGTAATGGTTATCTTTGATGACAAAGGATTTTTTTCCTGGTAGTAATTTTGGAAAATATACTCTTCAGAAATTTTAAGGAAGCTCATCATTGCATATTCGAGAGAAGAATTCATTTTCTTTTCAAGAATATTATAAAACTTACACTCTATATAGCAAAAGAGTAAAGTTTTGTTTTAATATTCTTATTCTTTAATCGAGTACTTTTTATTGAAATATTAAATTTAGGATTCAGAAGTCAGAAAAGATTTAGAATGTACTTCGAGTAAATTTAATACTTACGATGAATTTACGATAGATATATAAACTGATGAAGTACCTGAAACGAGTAATCTTTATATGACTTTTCTCCCAATGTAAATTTGCTTAATTAAAGAGTTCACGGTTACGACATAACAATTGTACCATAGACACTCGTAAAGTAGTAAATAGACACGACGTAGAACTAATTAATTTTCTTTCACGAGCTCGTCCATGACTTCCTGCCGGGCACGCCGCGTTGTGAGAACGCCGCGCTTTTCCGACGTTTCTCGCGGCTTAGTCGTGCGATTCGATTTGGTCACGTCGCCGAGTCGTTCTCACATATAGATTGGCAGACTCCTGCGAACGAAATGGAGCGCCAGAAATGGAGTCCGATTTCTAACGGCGTTTCACTCGGCGGAAAATTCGCATTCTGACGCCGACCGGCTGGCCGGCGCAGCCGGTCGATTGCGGAGGCTGCGGAGTACCGGTCGTGGTTCACCTGGACGCCGGACTTCTCTTACAGAGCGACTAAAAGGAACGCGTTAGAAGGTAGATAGTCGCGTTTGAGCGGAGCGGTTGGAGCGACTCCGAACCTCTCGTTGTATCCTGCTCACGCGATCGCTATTTCCTATCCCGATCACGCTCGTCTGTACTGATCGTACGTCGGCTGTAGCTTTTCGAGTAATGGTTCGACGAACTTCTGCGTTGGGTTCGTTAACAGTCCTCATGGCGAGGTTCTCGATATAGACATTCTTTGATGACGGGTGTTTTTCCGCTTCGACAGTTCCGGCTTTTTTTCCGGTTGTATTTTCAGTTCTTTGTGCGGCGTTCAACCATAGGAAACAGTACACGATACTTATAAATTGCTTTTTATATCTCGGAGGGAGGATATATTCTTTTATTTTTCGAAGTATTCTATAATATTTTAATATGAGATAATTTTAGTTTGATTTTAGTTAGATATTAAATATATTTAAATAAAACTAACGTTTATTTTCTATAACTCTGTTATCTTTCTATTATCTATAATAATAATCAATTCTTAGAAATATGTCACTCTTTCTTCTTCTTTTGTCAATCCGTCCTTTTAATTGATTTGCTTTACTATTTCCTACTGCTATTCTCTAGCTACCAACTATTCGATAAAGCGCGAATCCACTTTAGGTGACGATGTGGACGATTCTATTGCTACTGGTCTCTACGTGGTCTTCGTCATGGGGTCAGGTGATAAACAGGGCGCCCCACTTCATACAAGGCGGAGACATGGCCAGGTTGGCCGTGTCGGAGGGTACACCACCTGGCGCTCCCGTTTACACTCTTCAGGGAGAAGATCCCGAAGGATCCAGACTGCATTACTCCATCAGCGGCGAGTATTTCACCGTAAACAGGGAGACCGGTGTGGTAATTTTGAGGAGAGCTCTGGACAGGGAAACGCAAGACCTCATCGAAGTCATCATCAGCATAACAGGTAAGTTTTCTGCAAGTATCTCCAGTTTACACACGCTTGATTTATGCTCGGTCATTAAATTTTCATCAAATACAGTTAATATACATACTTTTCATTTAACTGACATTTGAAAAAGAATCATAATGTGCTCTTCAAAAAATCGCACGAAAGAGAATCAGATTTGCTACGTACGTTTTCGGTTATGGAGTGCCTTCGATATCAATGCAGTACGAGTGAATTCGATTTCATGAGGACGAGTCCGCTCTTTTCAGACGAAGGTATCGCTGGTTCGGAACCCAACACGGTGTCTCTTCGTCGTGAGATCGCGGTGCTCGACGAGAATGACAATCCGCCTATGTACCATGGCCGACCGTATGCGGCCAGGGTGCCGGAGAGTGCCCACGTGGGTGGCTTGCTGCTTCCTGAAGGCACGATCACGATCACCGACCGGGACGGCGGCGTGAACGCCGACGTGCACGTGCAATGCGTCGCGTCGTCGCGTGATGACGACGTCTGCGAGGTCTTCGACATCTCCACGGAGAAGGTAATCGACTCATCAATATGGCAGACTGCAATTTGATTAACGGGAAATAAAAAAGAAAAGTCGATCATTAGGATGAAATTAAAAAATGGAGAATTAAATTGTATTATAGTCGTTTTTGAAGTCTGGAATTTCTTCCCAGGATTCTGCATTTCACATCGATGGTGTGTTCTTAAACTAAGAATTCTAGCACGTTGTAACTTCTGAGATTTCTCTTACTTTAGTTTATTTGAAGGTTTATTTGATGTCCCGTCTTTTATTTCAATTTAATGGTCCCGATTTTGCAAATTCTCTTGCCTTAGCTTGGCTGTATATTTTTTATAACTTGTCGATCTTGCATTTGAGAACTTTTCTTATTCGCAATTAAATTGCTAATGTAACGCAATGGGGTGTTCTTGTCTGTTAAAAGAAGAAAAAATAACTAACGAGATTGATATAGTGGCGATGAATGATACTTCCAGCTGGCCGAAGGCAGATACGACGTGCAGATCACGTTGGCGAAGCCGTTGGACTACGAGAGGAGGAATTCTTACTTGATCAATCTGCTGGCGGTCGACGGAGCCAGTGACCCGCTGAAGCGGCTACAGGCCCGAGCAACCGTTGCTGTCGATGTCCTCGATGTTCAGGTAAGTAGGTCTCGAACAAGTGGTCGCACGGGTGGCTTCACATTGGATAATAACGCCATTTGCGATCAAATTAGCGGGGAATCATCATTATTCAATCATTGCCTGTCAACGTGAACGCCGCCAAATGGGGCTGCCAAATGAGGCCGCCAAATCGTCGAGTCGATGACTCGTCGTAATGTTGTAATCTGTGTCACGCCGTTCTCCGTTGCGCAGGATCAGCCACCCGTTTTCCTGAATGCGCCCTACAGCGCGGCGCTTCCGGAGAACACCGCAGCTAGTCATACGGTCCTGATAGTGCGAGCGCGAGACGGTGACACCGGCGAGTCGAGGAATCTGTTGCTGACGTTGGAGGACGAGGACGCAGGCCACTTCGATCTTGTGGTGTCCCGCGATGGCGATGTCACGATCGGCCGGTTGGTCACGACCAACGTCTCCTTGGATCGTGAGGACCCTAGGATCCTGCAGAACGGCGGCATTTACACCTTCCAAGTCAAAGCGACCGAGCTGATCAACAACGAGATACCGGCCGATACCGCGACATCGGTCGTGACGATCGTAGTCACGGACGTGGACGACCTCGTGCCGGTTTTCAACGAGGATTACTTCAGCATCAGGATTTCCGAGGATATCGGAAAGGATACTCCGTTACCAGGTGGTTCAATCTATCAGAGCCGCGTTGTCCGCTTGTCTGTAAATTAATCTTGAACATTTTTTTTATTATATATATATTCTTTTTCATATTCTGAAGTCGAAAATTTTATTTCTAAAATTATTCGTCTTATTTTTGATTGTCTTTTTCTGAATAATTGTTTATAAGGTTGGGTCTTTTCTCAAGTCTAGATTCTCTATTTAATCTTATAGTTGAAAGTTAATTTTTTTGTAATTAAAATTTTACTCTTAATTCTGGTTTTTTTTTTTCTGAATAATCGTTCGCAAGATTCAGATCTTGGTAGAAATGGAGAATTCGCGATTCTCTACCTCCGCGCTATTGTCCGCGTTTCTTCTGCGATTCAAGGAGATCTTCCGTCTGACAACATCATGATTAAGCAGGTCTGAATATAATTGTGAGCGACGGTGATGTGGGCGACAATGCCAAGTATCTTCTGGCGTTGCGAGATGTGCCGAGGTATCCTGGAATTAGCAAGGCATTCACCGTCAGCCCCGAAGAGGCTCAGGGCCGAGTGCCGATTGTGATCAAGGCTAAGGACGTCAACGTTCTCGACTACGATGTGGACGACCCCGCGAAGAGGGAGCTCGAGTTTGAGGTTATCGCGATAGTGGCGAACAGAGTGGTTAGTTTAATAAACTCTGCACACTTCTCAATCAATTGCTCGCATAGATCTTTTCGTGAATTTTGCTGAATAATAAATATGAATAATTAGCGTAATGAAGAACCAACAAGCTGATTCTAAAATAGCGTTAGGAACCGAATTCCCTAATGCCACTGTTGCAATCAACATTATTATTTAAATTATACGTATAACTGTGTTAGAGAGATAATAATTACAAAAGTTCCATACAACCGTATGAAAGAAATAATAAATGATTAAGCAGAATTCTGATTTAGATTCCAAGTTGAATCAAATGCTTGAAAATCAAATAGTGAAGTGCACATGCTCTATGCTGCAGGTGGCCACCACTAGAGTGCACATCCAGCTGTTGGACGCCAACGACCACAGTCCCGAGTTCTCGCAGGCGGTGTATAAACTGTCGGTCCCTGAAGACGCAGAACCGGGCACTCGTTTCGGCGACGTTTACGCGAGGGATTACGACAGCGGCTCTTTCAGCAAGTTGACGTACACGCTGCGTGGTTTCGGTGCGGACAAGTTCAGCACCAACCCGCAGGTGGGTGGCATATCCGTGGCGAAAAAGCTGGACTACGAGACACAGAAGTCCTACTCCCTGACGATGGAGGCGAAGGACGGGGGCGGTCGAGTGTCCGCCGTTAATATTCTCATCGAGCTAGACGACGTCAACGACAACCAGCCGGTGTTCGAGCAGGCGGAGTACTCGAGGACAATTCGCGAAGGCGCTACCAGCTTTGACCCGCAGGTGTTTGTCAGGGCGACCGACGTCGACGGGCCGACTCAGGGAAACGGGAGAGTCACGTACTCGATCAGCAGACACAACAGCATGACGGACGACGTCTTCAAGGTGCGTAGCTGAAGTGTTCCTTCGCAGTTCCTTCAGTGAGGGTGGATGTGGTGAAGGTGAAATTTGGTTACTAATAAGATTATAGTGATGATTTTCTGATTTTATCCCCGTTTCTTTCAAATTATATTGTATCGTACTGTAAATATTTTGTAACGTACTTCGTTTGGATCTTGTTGTCTCTGCAGATAAAAAATAAACAGTTATTAAGGCCGTGTTGAGCTACGAACTAAATTATTTATTAAAACCTGCAGGTTAATCCGGACTCGGGTGAAGTAACCATGTCAAAGCCGGTTCGCTCCGGAGACACTGAGAGAGGCATTTACGAATTGGTGATCCGCGCGACGGACGCTGGTGTTCTGCCGTTGCACTCCGAGGCGAAGGTCCTCGTTCGCGTTGGGGTGCCGGGCAACCAGAAGCCTATCTTCCGAGGAAACTACAAGTCGAACTTGCCGGGTCCCAGTACTTATCGGGCGAGGCTCTTGGAGAACGCTGCTCCCGGAACGGAAGTCATTCGAGTGATCGCCAATGATCCCGACGGCAGGGACAATCTGTTGCAGTATTACATCGCTTCCGGGTCCAAGGATAACTTCGTCATTGACTCCAGGTACGGCATTAACCACCAGTTGATAAACCTTACGAGAAAATTATAATAGAATATGACAATAGACCTTTCCAACAATTTTTCGCGTGCTATCAATTCTTTGGAATTCTTCAAGTTATACTTGTCAAATTTGCAGGTAGAAATAAGATGAAACAAGGATCAATATATCAATAATTAAAAAAGTTTCTCCTGTATGATCAACAACTTGTTTTAATTCTTCAGGTTCTATTTTTAAAATTTGGCAGAGAAAATATATACAAAGATTTACATTTGGATGAGTAAAAAAATTTTTCGTCTGTCATCAATTTTTTAAATTCTTCAGCTTGTACTTTTCAGTAGTATGACAGAAGTATGACAGAATGAAGATGAATAAGTTCTTTTGCTCACAGCTCGGGCATCATAACTGTGTCGCCGGACGCTCGCTTGGACCTGGAAGCCGGCGGTGAGAAGTACGAGGTGATAGTGTACGCCGTTGATTCAGGCACACCCGTCAAGGAAACTGCTACCACCACCGTCACGGTGAACATCATAGACGTGAATAATAAGCCGCCGACTTTCAATGAGTCCACGTATCAGGTTTACGTGTCGGAACGTGCAGCCATTGGTGAGCGCAAACGAACTTGAGAAAATCAGCCGTCAGTAAAGTTACCAAATTCAGCTGACAAGTGCTGATTTTTAAATTGCCGTTTTCAAGTACTCGAGTACTTTTCAACGAAGGTGTTATATGACAACTTCTTCGCGATTAGATGAACCTGTGCTGAAGGTGGTGGCGACCGATCCTGACGCAGACGCCAATCTCGAGTATTCTCTGGTGGAACCGATACGGGCCGTCGACAAGACTGGCGTGGCCTTGAAGAGCACCGCTTCTTACGACTATAAGAGCGCTTTTCGCGTCAATTCCACGACCGGCCTAATAACCGTGAACCAAGTATTGGATTATCAAGTGGTTGCCGTCGTGATATTGACGGTGCAGGTGCGAGACCTGAATGCAGTCGTCGATAAGGATGAACAGGTGGCGAAGGTGGAGGTGACCATCTACATTCAGGCCTATAGCGACGACAATCCTACGTTCAATAATCCTGGATGGTCGGCGAACAATCCGACGATAAAAATTACGATTCCGGAGGAGCAGCCGTTGGGCACGACGCTGTTGATGCTGTCGGCGAAAGAACCGATAACCGGATATCCGATCCAAAGATTCGAGCTGGTGAGAGAGGACGACGACGAAGGCTACGTCAATGTAGGCGTTCAGAGCGGCAACGTGGTGTTGAACAGGAGATTGGATTATGAGGAACTGAACCAGAAGGTAACGAGATGTGTGTTGTGTGACGACAGAGAAATTCGGAGATTAAATCAAATATGTCTAAATTTTGATAAGATGATCATTATATTTCTGATTCTAATATCACAATTACTATTTTTATAACACCTTTAGAGATTATTCATGGCTGTTTGTTTCCAGTTTATTCGCTTCAAAGTGCGAGCGCTCGCCAGGGACTACGACATAACGCGAAAGATGTCGGAGGCCAACGTGATCGTCGAGATTCAGGATATCAATGACAACAGTCCGATCTTCGGTCAAAAGGACTATAAGATTTCCGTGTTGGAGTCGGCCAAGTCCTCGAAGGTCGTGCTGAATGTGGACGCGGTCGATATGGATAGCTCCAGCACTGAACAGGAGATCAAAAGGGGCTACGGCGAGGTGCGATACTCTCTGACTGGCGAGAATGCGAATCTCTTCGAGGTGGACCCCATATTGGGTAACATTCAGGTAAGATAAACATCTCTGAATGTTTTAATTCAGATTTTATGTTGCAATGTCTAACATTTGGGAGATTAGCAAATTTTCAAGGATATCCCAGAAACAATATGTCCAAGACATAATGAATAATTTAGTTCCTTTTAATACGAAAAATTAATACGTGATAATATAATAATTTGAAGTGCGAATAAAAGACACTTTTTAAATGTTCCTTCCATTTTCACGTTGTTAGAATGATTAACGAAATGAATATTCCACAGATCGCCACCAACACGACTCTCGACAGAGAGAGGCAGTCGGTCTTGCGTTTCTATGTCGTGGCCTCGGACATGCCGCAAGGCGGAGCCGAGCAGCGAAGCAGCCGAGTTTTAGTGACCGTCGACGTAATCGACGTCAATGACAACGAGCCCAGCTTCGAGCAGGAATTCTACACGGCGGTGATTCCCGAGAACGCGCCGATAGGAATCAGCGTGGTGAACATCACTGCTACCGATCCTGATGAAGGTGAAGGCGGGACGATTAATTACGAGATCATCGATGAGGGTGAAGCCAACGGTAGGTCGCGGGCGGATGAAGAACAGACAAGGCGTACCACAAGGGCGCCTATTATTTTTTACAAAAGAGATGTTAACTAAAATTAAATTAAATTAACACTAGATCCACCAATGAGAATAACGACTTATCTCTATTGGAAAAATCATAGCGACAGGATTTTGGAAAAATATATATAATTCAAGAGGAAATATTTATTTTTCATTTTAGTTTTATTCAATGTTAATTAAAAATATAAAATCCACTAGAATTCAGTGATTTCTACATGAAATTGATGATTGCTTTTTAAAAAGACTATTTAATTTTTTATAATGATGCATTTGGCGTTTCTAAAACGCCGCAAAATTGATTTATTTCTATGAGAAAGTAATTTATAAGGGAATAAGAATAATTATCAATTTCATATAAAAATTACTCAATCCTGGAATCACGCATTTTATATTTTTAATTGACACGGAGCAGAACTAAAAAAATCACTCGAAAGATATTCTAAATATTCTTCCTCTTGCATTACGTATTTTTCTCAAAATCTGTCATTTTATTGCTTTAATATATTTAGCGTCAAAACACACAAAACGCCTCGCAAAGTAATTCATAATGTGTTGCGTGACTGTTGTTATCTCTTTCAGGGCTGTTCAAAATTAACCACACAACTGGCGAAATTTACTCGGCACGAGCATTGACAGGCAAGGGGAGAACCGAGCCCTACAACATGCGAGTGCGGGCGGAAGACAATGGCGAGCCAGTCTTGTTCTCAGACGTGGATCTCACCCTGTACATCGGAGACGTGGTGAGCAACGACGGCGTGCCGCTGTTCATCCGACCGACGTTGGAAGAGGTGGCCTTCATCTCCGAGAACTCCACCGTCGGCAGCCCGGTGTTCCAAGTAGTAGCGTCCGATCCTGACGACCCGAATCTGCCGAACGGCAGGATCACCTTCCGCTTCCTGGAGGACGGCAACTTCGGTAAAGACGCGAGCGCCTTCAGGATCAACGGCGAGACTGGACTGATCAGCACTCGCAAGCTGCTCGATCGCGAGGCCAAGGACAGTTACACGCTGATCCTGGTGGCGCAGGACCTCGGCGATCCGCCGCAGCAGGCGACCAGGGTGCTGCAGGTGATCGTGAACGACATCGACGACCACAAACCGCATTTCAAGAGGAGCTTGGACAGTCCTCCGATCGAGCTGAGCGTGTTGGAGGAGACATCACTGGGCACGAAGGTCGGTGTAATCGAGGCGATCGACGAAGACATCGGCGAGAATGGGATGATCGATTACGAGATCGTGTACGGCAACGAGGCGGGGCTGTTCTCGGTTGAGCGGCTGGAGAACAACTCCGCCGTCATCAAGTCAAACGGCCGTCTCGACCGGGAAAGCGCGGAGTCGCACTTGCTGACCATCAAGTGCTTCAAGTATACCTCGAGACGTTCGGACATAGTTCCGAAACCGTACAATAGGCAGGACCCTTCGGAGAGGCAGGTCCTCGTCAGGGTGTTGGACATTGACGACAATAAGCCGCGCTTTAAGAAAGACAACGTGACCTTGGGAGTTCGCTTGAACGTGCTCATCGACACCAGCTTGATCACCCTAGAGGCTGACGACGCCGACTCCAGCGCGTTGCCCATCAACTACAACATGAGCAAAGTCTCTTTCATGTCCTTGGTGGACTCGTCCATGTCTCAGAAGGAGATCCCGTCGCAGTTGTCCTTGAACGCGCGCACCGGCGAACTCCGGACGACCGGCTCGATGGCGGGCTACGCGGACGGCTTCATGGAGATGATCGTGTCGGCGAACAACTCGGCGACGCCTGGCCGGGAGACCAATATCACTGTGAGGATCTTCCTGCTACGCGACCGCGACATGCTGAAGTTCGTGTTCTCGAAGCCGCCGGTCGAAGTCAGGAAGACTCTGGAGGACTTCGAGAGGGCGGTCCAGCAGGCGCTGTCTCTTCCCATCAGCGTCAACGTCTACGACACGCAGTTTTACTCCAAGGAGGACAACTCCCTGGACTTCTCGTCCACCAGCTCGTGCTTCCAGATGGTCGGCAAGGAGTCCTACGACCTGGACGAGATGAGAGCCTTGTTGACCGATCCGAAGAATGAGGAGCTGAAAAAGGTTTACAGCGCTTATCATGTGGAGAAGGTGCAGCATTGCGCGGCTTTGGTAGCGCGCGCTGACGCCTCCATGACGCAGATGTGGGTCTTGGCGATCGCGGTCCTCGTTGGAGTCGCCACCATCGTCTCCAGCTGCGCGCTATGCTGCATGCATGCCAAGTAAGTGATGGATCCGCTTGTGCGCGCACGTTCAATCAAGTAATTTTTATAATTTTTCGTACAAACGCAATTTGCACATATATGCAAACGATAGCAAATCGGTAAAACACCTGGATGTGTATCAAGATTTATGATATATTAGGTGTGTGAATTAATTCGGTCCGTTTTTTTTTCCAAAAAAAGACTTTAGTATGAAAAAACATGAAAAAGTACACTAATCAAAGTATTTGCCATCGCTTGCTATTATTTTTTCCCATCTGTCTAGCATTTGTTGCATTCCGTGAAGGAAAACGGCTCGTCCTTCGAAGCGATCCATTCATCGAGCCATTTCTCTCTCTTTCTTCATAATTGTTGAAGTGCTGGTCCGAAAGCCTGTGTACCATCGATCTGAACAAGTGATAATCGGATGGAGCAATGTCTGGTGATACGGCGGGTGAGGTAAAACGTCCCAGCCAAGTGCTTCCAAGGTGGCCTTCACAATCTTTCCAACATGTAGCCAAGCGTTATCGTGGAAGATCACCTTGTCATGTCTCTTTGCATATTCCGGCCGCTTATTCCTCAATGCGTTGTTTAAACGGATCAATTGTTGTTGGTGAAGTTCGGCAGTGATGGTTTGGCTCTGTTTTAATAGTTCATGATACACTATACCCTTCTGGTCCCACCATATACAGAGCATTATTTTCTTGCCGTGAATATTCCGCTTTGGTGTCGATGTGGATGGTTTTCCTGGGTCGCTAATGGATTTCCTTCGTTTGGGATTATCGAAATATATCCACTTTTCGTCTCCAGTCACAATACGATGCAAAAAACCTTTTCTTTTTTGCCTGGCAAGCAAGATTCCAGACATGGCTTTTCGCCTCTCGATGTCTCTTTCTTTCAGTTCGTATGGCATCCATCTTCCTTCTTTGTAAATCTTTCCCATGGCTGCCAAACGCACAGAAATTGTTGATCGGTCAACATTCCACAATTGCGCGAGCTCATGTTGCGATTGACATGGATCTTCATGGATTATAGCGCCTGCAATTCCTCGTCCTCGAACTTCGGCTCTTCTTCGGCTGACCTGGACGAGGTTTGTCACCGACACTGAAATCATCACTTTTGAAACGTCGAAACCATTCTCTGCATGATTTATCGGTGGGAGCACTTTCACCATAAGCTTCTACGAGCATTCGATGAGCTTCAGCGGCTGTTTTCTTCAAATGAAAACAGAAAATGAAAACTTCCCGGAAATGATGCTTTTTTGGCTCGAATTTCGACATTTTCGAATCAGATAAACACGATGTTATTGTTACAAGCCCAAACGTTTATCAACTTAATATTATTGCCAGATATCAAAACTAAAAAATGAAGCCTTTTGCAGACATTAGAGATTAGAAAATTACATAGTACAGCAATTGATCGCCAGATGAACCGAATTAATTCACACATCTAATAACAGCAAATTGAATCATTACATAATGAAATAGCGACAAGTGAAATCATTCTACAGATTGATCCATTTTGAATACTCACCTAGAATACCTCGAAAGGAGTGCATTATTTGAGATGTTTCTGATAAAGTTTGATTTTAAGAAGGCAATAGTAACCTTGTTCGAACTTTCGTTTGAGACATTTTTTCAAACAATGCGTTTCTCCTGCGCTTTTATTTTATTTTAGGATGGGTATTTGGAATGAATCACCTTGTATAATTTGTTGATATAACGATAAGTGAAGGTATAAAATGATTTCATTCTTTGGGAATATGATGTATTCTTTTTATTTGTCAACTCTTTAGCATTTGATTTGTAATTTCATTACAAGTAGATTACAAAACACAGTTGACTTTGTTTTTCGTGTGGCAGTTCATGGCATTTATCTCTGCTCTCTTGTTACTTCGCTGATAACTTGTAATAATTTTTTCCTCTTCGTCACTTAAAACGCGCTCGGCAGTGAGCGCGGTAAGGTCGCCGGCGCGCTCGAGACCCACTTTTTCACGATACCGGCCACGCAGATGTCATTTAGAAAGGAGGTCGGAACGAAAATGTTGCAAGATGTGTGTTTCTCTTTACAGGTATAAACGGCAAGTAAAGCACGCGCGTTTGCGCGATCAACCGCGACCGCCTCTCAGTTATGTGTCTTCCGGCCCAGCTATGGTCAGTGCTGGGTCTCACACGACGCTGGGCCCCGGTACAATGGTGACACTGGGCCCACACGAAGGCCCGTACGAATGGGGGGCCGAGACGACGCTCTATCATCCAAGCACGTTGGGCTCGAGAACGTAAAACATAGAGAGATCAGCACTAACATGAGCCACATCGACTTTCCTCTAGCAGAAATTTACTTGTAAAGCTGACAAAAATATTTAACGACTAAATCCATTTCTTCAATGTCACATTGAGCGATGGACATTGACTCGAAGCAGATTCTTCTGTGGGAAAGAGTTTGTTTTCTACTGTTGAATCAGTGCCTACATTCACGGGATTTCAAAAAAGGCAACTGCGTGCAGTCGAAGCTTTTATTGGAGAAAGAGAGAGAAGGAGAATTAGTACTTTCAGTATCCAGTAGTAGAAAACAAACCTACAGACTTACCTAGGATCTAGTTCGCTTGTGGCTTCCCGAGAGATTTGCCTGTCAGAGACAACGAGAAGAAGCGAAATTCTGTCGAGGAAAAATTAGCTGGAAACTTCCTGAGAAGTGACGCCTCGACAGACTTCTCTTTGAACACTGTGTTTAGGAGCCCAGTGAGTCTCGAAGACAACCAGTGCTCTCTGATACTAAGACGTTGCATCGGCGGATGCAGAACACTGTTAATTTATAAACTTGCAGTTGCAAGACGAAGCGAATCGATGGTGCTATAATTGTAATATAGAAAATGCCGTGCTGTGTTAGACAGCGCTGCGGCTTGAGACGTGAGCGATGCGGGAGCTCGTGAAATTTTCAAGGCTCGCCGAAATCGGGACGTTTCCAGACCTTCCCTTGTAAGAAGGGACAATCCAGTCTCTTTGACGGCGCGGCGTATTGTTGTCCTCGCGAGCGTCATCGCTCGATGTAAACAAGACTTCCCTTTCAATCTGCCATCCAGCGCGTCGAGGTACAGTTGGTAGGTCAGACCGCGGATCTTGGGTCTTGCTAGTGGATTGTGAAATTTCGCGGACTTCCGTCGTCAAGCCGGTGAAGCAACGCGACGGTTTGTAAAGTACGACGGTGTTCTTGTAAGTAATCGTAGGTGTACTAACCGCGAGATTGTATATTTTTTAAGTCAAATGACAACGTTGTTATTGGAGGATAAGTCGCGCGCGATTCCTGTGTTGTAATATAATATAGTATTTAGGACAAAATAAAAAATTGTACATTTTTCATCGTATTCACAGACGGCGACAGTGTATGTATTTGTGAGGGTCTGTGTAATCTAAAACTTGGTCTTTCGTTCGGAGATTTTTTTTCTATATAAAAGTGACATCGAATAGAGATTTGTTCAACGAATCGTTCAGGTAAGTATACGTGCCAATGAAAATTACCGTTAGAATTGCTACTTGTTTTCCCCTTTCTTCCGAGACTTTGGACGATTTTAAGCTTTTTCAAGATTTGCGCTTAAGAACTTAAGATCACGCGCGAAGAACTTGCGCGAACATTTTTCTTCTCGATCGCATCAATTGCTGACAGGACTTTATAGTTATCTCGATAATCGTGTTTCATGTACACGGTATATCCGGTGGCCTATGAGGCAATCGACAAAGAATCTTCAAAAAACAACGGACGCCTTTCTCGATTGCTCGAACAAGACGGATCTCAGAATACCTTCGACGGAAATGTCAAGGCGAGGAAGCAGTTCGGATTGGACATGCGAGTTGATTGTAATCGCGGTATTGAGATTTTTGACCGATTACATGGAGAGACGCTGACATCATTCTTTTCTTCAAAAATGTTTAACGTGATAGACACGAGCCGGCTAATTAATTAATCCTGCTAATTAATTAAAAAAAGACGCCTCGCTTGTTATTACCCGCGAGACCGATCTAAATCTCCATATCTTCTTGTGGGTTCGTCCTTGTCGAGGAATTTCATTGCGTGTCAATGACTTTTAATCTTCTTCGCGCGCGAAATATTCCCCAGATCATTGAATTACATCAATCTTGATCTTCGAAAGCGGATGCGTTACGTATTCTGGTTCGTTTTCGTCGATTGAACCTTAAATCTTTGCGAGTTAGAATATAAATTTGCACTAAAATTTAATCGCCCATGGTAGAAATGGAAATCAGTTAATTATGTTCAGTTATGTCAAACAATTGAAATCACTCTTTATTCGATATTAATTTTGACCATTCCAGTCAATCAAAGTTCCAATCGATTAATATCCAATATTGATTTTAACGTCGTTTCAGATATTTAGAGAAATGATCGAGTTTTCGCGTGGTTCCCAGTTTGTTATACAAACTGAGATTTCTTTCTTCCGTATACGTCTTTCTTCTCACGTCGAACTTTCCAATGAAGAGATCCTGAAGTCAGGAAGTTTAGTTTGAATTACGACAGAGAGAAGAGTTAGAAAAATATATTTCGGCCAACAATATACAACAATAATATTCGACTGTTCTCTCAAAAAATGATCGGATGATTTCGGCATCTTCTAGTTTAAATCATACTGCCCACCCAATCGGAGCGTAGAAGACCGTCACTGAAGCGTTGAAATCCTTCGACAGTATCGACATCCTTCGAAAGGTCAGCGCTTTTGTTCGCGCTGGTTTTCGGATCGTCGATCGCCGTCGCGTTGTCGCAATTCGCACAGTCGTTCTTCACGAATTTCATTGTTTTTTGTAAATCGACCTCGAATTTCTTTGTGCTGGTATAGTCTTCGTCGACGTTTAATTTATGATTCGAAGGCACGGTGACGTTTTCTTCGACGCGACCACCCTCGCTACTCGGATCTGGGTAGGTTTCTGAATCCTTATTTATTTCGAGGTCTCCATCCTTTTCGTCCTTATCATCCAGGTTAATCTCGTGGTACCGTGTTAAAGGTAAGTTTGTTGTCTCTGGATTTTCGTTCTCTTCGAACTTGGACTGCTCGATTGCGGAATGATCAGTCAGGTGTTTGGCGATCGACTCCAATGGTGACATTATCTTCTCCGCGAATTCTTGCCGCTCCTTAAGTCCCATCGATTCCGATTTGTGGATGATGTCGTGTCTGAAAACATAATCAAAGAAAGTCAATCAGTTTCCAATGGGTTCTTCAATTTTTCAAAGATCGAGTGTAAAATAATAACAAAAATTATATTGTTAAAATTGAATTACTACATTACACAATAATTACATATTTATTTAATTCTAAATTCTTATTTAATTAATTAATTAAATTTAATTCAACTTAATTTAATTACTTAATTCAACTATATTTTTAATAAGATTTATTATTAAATTAGAATAAACAATTGCTTTCAAAGAGTTATATATTCACATAAGCAAATATTTAATAATATCGACTGAATATCTTTTATTTTTAGAAATTTTTTCTCAATGTACCTGTTAAGCTTATTCTTCCTTCGAGGATACAGATTCAAGTGAAATATCATCTGCTGCCTTTCCTCTTCCTCCGGCAAAGTCGTAGGACTCGGCATAGCTACGAGAGGAACGGGTGGTTGCGGAGACGACCCATATAGTTTTGGTCCCCGGGTAAACTGGAGAGGTCTCCTAGAGTCGTAATCGTCCGCGGGCCGTGACCACGTCGGCTTCTTGTTCTGCTCCATGATATCGGTGATGGGATAAATGTCGAGCATCACGCTGAACGGCTTCGGCTTTCTGTTCTTCCCCAAGGTGTTCGTCGAGTACGCGCCGGCGTTCTCGTATTGCGGCTCCATTCCGATCGGCTTGTTGAACAAGGGTCGAGAATACAGGGAGTCGTAGTAAGGGTTGTATCGATGTATTCCGGTCGGCGAGAACCTGAAGTAGGATTATTCGGTTACCGGCAGACTCGAACGTATTCTTCCGTGGTTCGGTTTTTCTGTGAAAATTAACTGCAAGAGCCAACGCAAGATTTCCTTCGCGAAATCGCCACACACAGTCGTGAAAATAAAATAATTCTGTCCTAGAATGTAGCTATTCGTATCATCAGATTTGAAAAATGTCACTGGATCCTTTTCCTCTGGATCGACGTGAAACTTAATAAAACGCAAGATTTCCGTGATCTCGACTGTACGCGGATATATTCGCTTTCGTAATAATAGCCGTGTCCGCTTCTGATGCAAATGAGTGTGAATAATTCAGTTACGAACCTCACATTAGACGGGGCCAACAGATTGACGTCAGCCGGGTGTTTCGGTTTGTACTGGTAGAAAGGATCGTTATGGTAGGTGACAGGATACGGAGACGCCACGTCCTCCTCGGACTTGTCGCTGCCGGACATCATCTCCCCTATGCCAGGAAATAGGTCGTACTTCTTCGGGTTCACGTAGACGCCGGTGAACTTGATGCCGCGATTCGGCGGCATCTCGGCGTCGTTGGTCAGGTATTTGATGATGTCTTGTATGTTCCTCGACGACTGCGGGTATCGGTATTGCGACAGCTGCGGGTACCTCGGCCGTTTGAAGGATGACGGGTGCGGCGTTTTGAATTCCCAGTGAAACGGTGTCGGCCGAGCCTCTCCCGTGTTGATGTCCCCCTCCGGATCAGGATAGTTGTATCTGTCATAATTTTATTAATAATGCTACCCGATAATAAACAGTATTCTTTGGTAATCATTTAACAATTAACAATAGTAGCACCTCATTAGCTAGAAGAAATATATAATAATAATATATAATGTACTGTAATTGTATATGATACACCATAATTGGTCGATTTGACGGTCGATTATAATGGGCTAACAAGTTTTTCTCACGTATTATCCGATAAAATAGTTCTTTCATGTGCACGTAAATCATAATTATTATTAAACTATGCGCAAACGTGCACGGAGCTCAGAGAGCTCGATTTTCTTCCTAATAACGTATATTATTATCGCATGCGTGACATATACATACAGTCACACCGGCGCGCACACACACATACACACACACACACACACACACACACACACACACACACACACACACGTGTATATTTTTACTCCTCAATTACTGAGAATGGAAGGGTGAAACGTGAACGCGGCGAAAGACGTCCTGTGCAATGTGCAGCAATGTTTTAACAAATAGACTTAGCGCGCGCAACGACGCATCGTTACCCAACGTAGAAAGCGTCTCTCGTAATCTCGGAAGAATGTCAATGATATTCGTCTCCGATTTCGGATTATTAATGATGATAGAATCCGCGTGTGGACCCGCCGATTTAGCAGCGCGACATTTGCGCGAGGTGTGCCGTTACTATTTCCACTGCACCGCGCAAAGGTCGTAAGAGATCGCGCCGAATCGGTGCTCATAAATCTCTCGCGTCTCGCTGAAATCAAAAGTTTTCGGCCCGTAATGCCTGTGATAAATGGCGATCGGAGAAATCGCCGTCGGGATAATCGCCGTTATCGATCACGACCGCGATCTATGTACCTCTGTCTCATGCGGTAACCGATCGCGTGGTTATCGAGCAGTTGCTTGGCCTCGGACCCTTCATTCTCCTTGTCCTCCTCCACGGACTTCAGCACCCTCTTCCGCTGCTTGAAGTTGTGCAAATTCTGCGCCCGGGACTCCAACTCGCCCGATCTCATGATGCGAGACTCGGGCAGCGTCAGGTCGATCGTTCCGTTCCGTTGCGCCGGACTTTCGTGCTCCGCGTTGTCTGAAGCGCGACTTTTCACCGCGGGAATGTCCGTCTGATTGACGATAGCCTGCGGCAGAATCGTGCTGAAGTTGACTGACTTCTTCGATAAATTTGGCGACTTCTTCAGGGCATTCTGCAGGATGTATATGTGCTTCGTCTCTTGGTTGACTTTGCTGTTCGCCGACATGGCCGACGTGAAGTCGTACATGAATATCGCCACCTGCAAAAGTAAACGAATTTCAGATCTGTGTCACAAATTTTTGATCAGAATTTTGATCACAATTTTTTTCAGAAATTTTTGTGAAGATGAAAGATTTAGCAAAAGTGAATACAGTACAAGAGTTTTATTATTATTACGATACAGTACTTGCGACATATTTCTTTCGATGCAAACACGAAGAATTCCAAATATTTTGCATAACTTTTGAAAAATACACAAAGGGGCTTTCAAGAAGCACCATTGCGCCCTCGTGGCTCTCGATTGCGTTTCTCTCGGGTTCTCTTTATATATTTTTCTAAGACCGTGTAAGATATCTGAAATCTTTTCATTTTAATTTTCACCGGGAAAACCTTCAAAGGATTATAACGAATATAACGAAATGGAGATCGCGCTATTTCTCTGAAAGACGATGCCGCTTCTTCAAGAAATTCTTCCGATCTGCGCTAGATCCTCGATGCGATGAATGAATGCGGGCGTTCACGATGTTTATCGAACGTCCGAAGTAACGAAGTCGCAATTAACCCTGTTTCGAGATAGCGACCGAGAGAGTTAATCCGTGCCGAAACACAGTTAACGCCCCATATGTAGCACGCAGAAATCTTTGACGCTTGGCTCGTCATGCATGGAAGGGATACTCGAGGATTCCCGGTGAAAATACGATTCCTGACACGAGTACATACACACACATATACTTACACGTATACGTGCAGACGGCACGCGGCCGTCGTCGCTATTAATCATCGGAGAAAACGTGCGAGCAGCAATTACACCCATTGTTCCTCACGCGTGGAAGAAACTCGCGAAAATCTCGCGCCGCCGTTTGATTGTTATGCGTTCCGAGCTGCGCGTACGGCAGGATACGAAAGCCCGAGTATCACCGTGCGCGGACGTTTTGTCGTGCAAGGTCATTGTCCGTGCGCAGCGAAAGGCGCGGTGGACGTATCTCGGCAAATAAAAAGCGAAACGCGAATAACTGCTGAACGATATCGCTGTTGCGTCACTCGCGATGCGTTCTCGTAATAGCGGGTGAGTGCAAAAGTTTCGATAGGTTCTCCAACGATGTTTCGTACAAGTTTTACGGCGCAGCGCTTGCGAATATGTAGATGCATCATCTACCAAAGATAGTAGAATGACAATGAACATTGCTTGGCCATGAATGAACAAATGTTTTACTCGGTCCATTTTTCTACCACGAGATTCGTCGAAACTTCCCGGTGTCTTCATCGCGTCTCAGAAGCGACTTCTCAATGAGGCGATTATTTATGTAGTGCGGAATCATTGATCTGCCCTAGAACAGGTGTAATCGAAAACGTGCACGTGTGCTCGTCTCACAGAAAGTAAGATATCAATCTTTAAGGCACGTGAAGAGACATTTAATTGGACGTAATTATCAAGTTACTTGGAAGAACGTGAGATGTCACGCGTAATTTCTAAATTAATCGTCGGTAAACTATTATTCTCGAGTTGAGGTAATTACCGCGGTAGCTTTCCGATGTCACCTCTGTTAAACGAGTTGGAGAATGGCGATAAGTCAAAGTAAAATTGAACGAATAAACGTGTAAAGTTACGAGGACGTTAAAAGAAAAAAACTGAGCTCTCTCTTTAATACTAAAAAAAGTAAATCACTTTCTTAATACTTTATTAAAGACTTGAGTAGCGGTCACAGCTTTGACGGGCAATCGAAATTAATTAACTCGTTTTTATCAATTCACAATTAATTAACTTACTAGGTAGGAAAATTGAAAAATATGATTTGGAGCAAGAAATCGCGATTTGAAAAATCCTCCCGCTGCACCCTCCGTTCCTCGATTATCCAATATGATTGAGCGAAATAAACGAATAAATCCAGCTCTGCTGCAAATCGATCAGCCGACTCGCTCATACATCGACTCTCTCAATCACTCACCAGGATCACCGTTACCACCACCATAACGCCGATCACAAACTTCCTCACGATTAGGCCGTAGCGATTCCTATTGTACCGATCACTGCGATCCGAGTAGAGGCCCAGTTCTGACGTACTTATAGCGGACCTCCTGCCGGTCTCAAGCATCGCCTTCCTCGAGGTCTGGCGGCTGTCATCCTTTACGATTACACATTGGCGATATTGGATATTCTTATTCAAAGTAGCTTACCGTTGACATGCTCGTCGACTCGTTTTCACCTCGCCATTGCCGAATCGTCCGATATGAATCGTCCGATATGAATCGCGGATGAGCGACGAGGACTTCCGGCAGTAACGAGTGTTGCGAAAGACGAAAAAGGGAGATCTCGTCTGGGTCGACCCGGTCTCTCTTTCTTTCTTTCGACGCAGAGCACACGACGTTGCTCTTTCGACGTTTCCCGCGCGACTAACGATCGCGCATTTCTCGGCACGCTATTTTCACTACGGCTGGAAGATCCTATCAAGAGCGCAAGGAGATTTCCTTTGTTCGTGGGGGAGGCTCATTACGCCGGTGTGGAAGGCAGACAGTTATGGGCTACTTCCTTCGACGGCAAAGCCGGCCACCACCGCTAGCTCGCGCACGACACGCGAGGAAAAGCCTCACCTCAGCCTCGCTACGCTACCGTTTCGGTGGCTGATCCGCTAAACACGCACGCCGACGCTCCATTTTTGTCGACTCGTGTAAAAGTGAGCGACGCGCACCTTGTCGCGAATCTCTGCACACGTATGCGAAGCGATGAAAAGCAGTCGGATGTTTGAAACCAAATGCTCGAGATAATAACGCTGAAGCTTTAGCTCTACAGAGCTCGTCACAAGGATCAACCGTAGAGTACATCGTGAACTATGAAGGAGAATTAACATTGTCCCTTGTAAGTTCTTCTCGGTGAACCGATCCATCGAAATATTAAAGTAAAAGTACCAATGTTGGGACCACGTATCTAACCGCGGATACTTTTATCATTTCGCTCTTTAAATTTAAATATTTTAACATACATTATATATTTATCGTATGGTATATTATTTATCGTATGGTAAAAGTACAAATAAAAGATAAATAAAATAAAAATAAAATGCTTATCAAATGTGGATATATGAATATTTCAATTTTCAACGTAGAATATATGTATATTTTATATCGAAAGCTTAGATACTCAAACTTTAAAAGCTAATGCGATAAGAATGTAGAATTGGGTCGGCATGTTTCGGCATTGGTACTTTTACCTTATCTCTCGTAGAAGAATGTAAGAACTCGTGATTGCGTGATTGTGGCTGCTGTAAATAAATGTCAACTAACGTATGCAGACTTCGCGTTACTTCGTGCTCAGGCAAGGAGGTAGGTACACAAGTGGTATTTTTCTAAAAACCTTTATTTCTTTCCCACACTCACGCGCTAAACACATGTAAAAGGACGCTCGCGTCGCTGTGAGTCCTCGTGACGTGTGGCGAAGATCGGTCGGTATACATAAAAAAGGCGATAGTCTAAGCGTCCAGCGAGCGACTCGGCGCTCGTCGTCGGCTCTTAAATAATAATCCTCACTAATGTTAATATTACACGTACTAATATTTAAGAATTGCGATGTTGCTGATTTGTAAGGCACATCGGCTCAGCCGCGTCACCGAACGCTCATCGCTTGCGAGTCTCGAAGACAATATCGGGGATCGGGTATTGGTAACCTCCGAAAGGTCTCGGTGTCGTGGGCGGCAAAGTCGGAGGTGGCGCCTGGCCTCCTGTCGGTGATGACGGAGTGGGGGTGCTGGGTGTGATGGAGATAAGGGGCGTAGGTGGCGGTGGAGCTGACACCGTGGAGTAAGTTGATCTCGGTTTTTCCGGTGGAAGATAAGTAGACGCCCGATATCTATGCGTGGTGGTTCTAGGCGTAGTGGTAGTGGTGGTAGTGATGATGTCTGGTGGTATATAGGAGGAGCCGGGAGTGGAGGAGAACGGTGGCACATAAGAAGAACCCTGTGTGGACGATGATGGCTTATACGGTGTGGTAATTTTGGTTACGATTCTAGGTGTAGTAGTGGTACGTTTTGGTGGTACATAGGTGGAGCCGGGAGTGGAGGAGAACGGTGGCACATAAGAAGAACCCTGTGTGGACGATGATGGCTTATACGGTGTGGTAATTTTGGTTACGATTCTAGGTGTAGTAGTGGTACGTTTTGGTGGTACATAGGTGGAGCCGGGAGTGGAGGAGAACGGTGGCACATAAGAAGAACCCTGTGTGGACGATGATGGCTTGTACGGTGTGGTAATTTTGGTTACGATCCTAGGTGTAGTAGTGGTACGTTTTGGTGGTACATAGGTGGAGCCGGGAGTGGAGGAGAACGGTGGCACATAAGAAGAACCCTGTGTGGACGATGATGGCTTATACGGTGTGGTAATTTTGGTTACGATCCTAGGTGTAGTAGTGGTACGTTTTGGTGGTACATAGGTGGAGCCGGGAGTGGAGGAGAACGGTGGCACATAAGAAGAACCCTGTGTGGACGATGATGGGGTGTACCTGGTAGTCGTGTACCTAGTGGTTGGTGTTGTGTATTTTGTAGTGGACGTCCTAGTATATGTGGTAGAAGATGGAGTACGAGGTGGTAGGTAGGTCGATGGTGGAGTAGTGCGCGGTGGAACGTAACTGGATGGTTGCGTGAATGGAGTATATCTGGTGGTGCGAGGTGTCACGGGCGGTATATACCTTGTAGTAGGTTGAATCACTGGTGGCGTGTACCTTGTGGTACGTTGTGTCACAGGTGGTATGTACCTCGTAGTAGGTTGAGTCACTGGCAGTGTGTACTTCGTGGTATATTGTGTCACGGGTGGTATGTACCTCGTAGTAGGTTGAGTCACAGGCGGTATGTACCTTGTAGTGAATCGCGTTGGAGGTTGAGGAGATGGCGGCACATAAGGAGGACGTGTCGGAGGCTGAGGTGGAGGTGGCGGTGGGGTTCTAGGAGGCTGGGGTGGCGGAGGGATATAAGGTGGTATAGTTTTATACGTATACGGAGGTAGCGTTGTTGTTGTAGGAGCTAACGTAAAAGGAGTTTTTGGTGGCGGAGTTCGCGGAGGTGGCGTTCGCGGCGGCGGAGTTCGTGGTGGTGTCAGCGTCGGCACTCTTCTTGGCAGTGTAAACGAATTGTCCGGAATTAAATAAATGTATCCTTCATCCTTTGGTGTAGTTCGTGTCGAAGGTGTAGTTGTTGGTATCGTAAACGTAATTTTAGGGGTTGTATCAGGGTATCCGATTGGCACCGTCGGAGTTGTTTTGGTTGGTGTCGTAAACGTAATTTTAGGGGTTGTATCAGGATATCCGGTCGGCACCGTCGGAGTTGTTTTGGTTGGTATCGTAAACGTAATTTTAGGGGTTGTACGAGGGTATCCGATTGGCACCGTCGGAGTTGTTTTGGTTGGTATCGTAAACGTAATTTTAGGGGTTGTACGAGGGTATCCGATCGGCACCGTCGGAGTTGTTTTGGTTGGTGTCGTAAACGTAATTTTAGGAGTTATACGAGAGTATCCATTGATTACTGTCGGTGGCCTGACTGTCACTATATTCGTCCGTGACCCCCTGTGAATGTAATCATATCTTACGAACGCGATCGAATTATGCAGAAATTGATCGGTTACAAAAAATTTTCTCCGCAAGTGGTAATTTTTCTTTTCTCGAACAATTTTAATCAGAATACTAGTATTTAAAACGGTTCTAAAATACCTTCAAAATGTTTAATCACACTTACGAAGGGGGTATAGTGAAAGGTTTCGATGGTCTGTCATAGACGTAACCCTGGAATTGAGGGCTGTTCTCTATGGCACGTTTACTTCTCTCAGGACTCGTGTCCGCGCGACACGTAGAGAGCACGGCCACCAGAAAGACCGCCCACAGCAACTTCCACTGAAACAATCACAAATCTCGATTTAATTTATCAGTTTTGAACATCAAGTCGTTGGACACTATAATATGCATCGTTGATCGCCTTCATTGCAACGTGTACACATTATGTTAAACGCGTATCAGCGCGTTAACATAACATAATTGATACCATCATAAATATTTTCGATGCGACCCTAATTAAGTCAACAACAGATATAATTAATATACCGATACACGTGCTCAATATCGCGATATGTTCGTCAATTTCCAGCATGAAACATAAATACTCGATCACAAAGATGATACGCGACGCGTGAAAGCATCAAAACAATCGGCAAATAGGGCTGCGTCATCATCCATTGATAATGTTTGTTTATATCACGTGTCGGCTTTTTACGATGCGTCATGTTATGATTGAGATGTGCATGTAGAATCGCTATCTTTCTCGTTGCATGTCCGCAAGGAGCGAAATAAATTCTAGTCCTCATTAATCTTCCGCCGATCGCATCAGAAGAGTTACACTAATTATCGCGTATATATATATATATATATATATATCTCTCTCTCTCTCTCTCTCAGATACCAGCATATTTTTTAATCGAACTGTTAACTAATCAAGCCAATTTTTTATTTCCAAATGTGAATCCACAAGTGTGAATCCCCGAATTAGGAAAATTAATTTTGCAAATTATTAATTTAATAATAAGCATAAATTAATTATCCAAGTAATCAGTATAATTAACCGATAGTTAATTAATAAATAATTAATTCAATTAATTTATATTAATCTAATACAAATGAATCTTAATTAACTACGTCAAAATAGGAGATAAAACCTCGTCTCTATTGCGCATATGCTTTTTTTAACTTATAGCGTACATTGACCATGAACGTATCCGAAAGATATCACGATGGAGGGTGAAGTCCCGACGCGAAGGATGCTGCAACGAGTGATCACCTGCAGCTATAAGGTAAAGAGAGAGAAGGTAGCCTGTACATCGTTGCATCGTTAGCTCCTTCATTGGTTCTTCGAGACTGACGGAACTTGCAGAACCGACATGGAAGTAAAATTTCGACTCGGGCCATCTTCTTCCCCCGCTCCCTTCACCCCTCGCAACAATTAGCCGAAGCACTCGCGTACGCGATCGGAGACGATCTTCGATTGCCTCCGTGGGATAATCTCACGCTTCACCCACGGTGGTCTTACATAACGCGTCTCGGCCACGAGGCGCTATGTAACGCGCCGATGATCGTGAAAGGTTCGCAAGCGCGGACTGTAGTATATCGTCGTTTCATTGATCAACCGACGTTTCACCACGCGAATATTGCGTATTTACCATAATGCTGTCTTCTTTTTTGCCGGGGGATGAATGAGGGAGCTTAAAATCTCGCACCAGAAGACGAGACAATTGCTGCTAATCGTTACCTGGGTAATTTTTTTGTGTCCTTACTGCTCGCACGATTCATTTGACGAATTTGATATTCAGACTCACATGGTTTGATATTTGAATCTTCATATCTGCTATCTACTGATATTTCTGATGTCATTATGTGACTCGAGAACACTTATCATTATTTTATCATATATTTCCTCGGTCGATTTTAGCGCTTGTGATTGGAGAGAGTACGTGAGAGATCGAAGGCCACGCTGCTGGTCGAGAGCGCACCTATCGTCCTGCATCTGCGAGCAGGTGCACCGCGGTCTCGTTAGCGTGCAGGTATGTTTAGAGGAAAGCCTGAAAGTCAAGCGTGGCTTCTGGCCGGCGAATTAAATCGCCGTAACCGTTCGCGGCGGCGTCTTTGCGCGACGAATGACGGTTCGGTCTCGGAGGAACGTCCGGCGACCTTTAGCTGTATAATTTATATGGAAGGATGGCAGAGCCTGTGCGCGCCTTACGGGGGAAAGATAGCCTCTCCCGGCGTATCTTGTTGGTGTGCGCGAAAGGTTTCTGCTGTATAAGTGCCGGAGAGTCTTTGATTCGCGAGAGACGCGATACAGATCGTCGGGTTCGCGCTGAGAGTTCGCGCGTCTCCGAATTCCGAATCTGACTTTGATTCGTTGGCAGTCGACTCTCTCCTCGATCGAAATTTCAACGTCCGCCATTTTTTCCGCGATACATGATGATATTTTACAATAAATTTGAAAGAGATTCATCAAACTCGTCGAGAAAGAGATCATATCTTTTGTTACGTTTACTTTATAACGCTTGTTATTCGTCGGGAAAGAAGCAACTTGGAATGCTTCCTCGTCGCTTCTTTTCTCGATCGTGATTATGTGAATTAAGTTAAAACACCTGAAGATGTCTTCAGGCGTCTTAACGAACATTCTTGCGGCACGAAAATACACTGGCGCGGCTGGCCGGGCTCGAATTTAACATTGACTTTCGCGCATCGTTTGCTCGGTGCCTTTCTAATTGCCGTGCAATTACGGAACGTAGCTAACGTTAATTAGCGTCGTGACGTGTGATCTCAATACCGCATGTGTTACCGTATTTACACCGCGCTCATATACGCGCGTCGTAAAATGTAAATTGCAAGACTGGCGAGTGTCAAAAGCGCAAAAATCGCTGAAAATTGCTTATCCGCGAATCGCCCGAAGGCTCGTGACAAAAGCGACGCGAGGCACAACGACGACGTGTGACCGTGCAAAATGGCAGCAGACACGCATAGACATGAGAAAAAAGAAATTCAACTCGAAGATGAAGGAAAAAGGGAGACATAGTCGACGCGCGAAATCGACAATGAGTCTGAGTTTCTCTAATGCGCGGTTGCGATTTGTCGTTTCGCAATTGGCGAGGAAGTTTATTACGTTGCTGAAGCAGATATTAGCGTCATGGGGATACATTGTATCGGCTGGTTTCTGCAGCTCGTCTCGAGTGCGTATCCGCGGTGTATCATCCGAGTCGATCGATTATGTCCATCAACTCGTCACTATCCCACCTCTGGCCTTTGTGACTGGACTGGTGCCTGTGTTTGCTTTGGATTCCTCTCCCAACGTGTCATTGCGAGGAACCCCATTGTGCGAGCAACAAGAAATTCGCTCGCGGCGACGTAATAATCGCAGGCATTCAACGGTCACGCCGTTTTGTCGGATGAGTCAATGGCGCAGCCATTTCACATTCTCGCGGATGGATTATCGCGCTTTACGAAAGATTATCCACCGAGGAGTTCAAAGCACTCCCGAAGAGGCCCGCTGGCCCAATTTTATGTCTTCATATTTCAAGAGGTCGCGTCACTTAAAGTCACCTAATACTCATGAATCGTGTCTCGAGTCTCTCGCTCAAACTGAATACGACGCATCATCATACTCGAAGCGGACTTATGAGATGAATCTGTAATTATGATATACGGAAAAAGTTTCACGGTAAAAGTTACTATGGCGTTTTGCAACCAAAGAACATGCCGATCTTCTGCCTTCGATGTCTTCCGGTTTCATTAGAAGGTACCTACAAGCATAATGAAATCTTCTAAAACGGAGCGCGTACAAAAATCTACAGACATAGCTTTTATTTTTTAATCAATGTAATAAGTTGTATATTTCGTCCAAGTAGCACACTGAGAAAATATTATTTATGTACACGACGCAAGCAGAAAAACTGATAAGAATAGGACTTATTTGAATCATAAATTATATTAATTATAGTCCTTAATGTGTGACATTTACACGTTTGCTTTTAGTTGAAAAAAATCCGAAATCACTTATCACACAATCCACTACGATGTTGGCAACATTAACTCTATCGACAATTTATTCTCTTTCTCTCTCTCTCCTGCGCGCACCACTGAGAAACGCGATTGAATCGAAAACAATTTATACGAGAGAAGCCACGGTATGCTCTCCGTGTAGAGAGGCGAACTCAAGTATTTCTCTCGCGGTCTGAAAGCCTCTCGTTCGCAAATGACTCACCGCAAGCTCGCGAGACGGGAACGCAGATCGATCAAGAGTGATCTAGGAGACATCCGTGCAGAATGCCGTTATTATGTAAAGGCGAGGGTTGTGTAGGAAGTGTCCAATAATAGCGGTACTGGTTTTATTGAGGCCACCGTGCGAGTTCACTTCGCTTCGCGTCTCTATCGGAAAATTACGCGAGTCCCGCACGGTTATGTAAAGGGACATTCTTGCGAGGCGAACGCCGCGACAAAGAAGCGGCACATGAGATTTAGTGAGAAAGACGGCAGCGAACGTGACCCGGCGCGACCACCCCTGCCGGGGTGGCGGAGTGTCTTTGACGGAATCTGTGACGGGATTTATTTGCGAACCGCTCACCGTCGACATGAATAATCATTTCCTTTCCTTGCGACTCCTCTTCTCGCGCGGCCTCCGCAGGAGGCTCGAATGCAACAGAGCCACTTTGTTCGTTTGAATCTAATTTTTCAAGGATCTCGGCAAATATGTGAGCGCTTGCTGCTTTCAATATGGTTCGAACGTTTGTTCGAGGTGCAAAGAGAGGACTCGTTTTTATTGATTCTCAGGAGTTAAGTTGTGTGCCGAAGTGCGTGGAAAAAGTATTAAAATTATCTTGAAGTAGAAGCTTAGGTACGACGTTTGACTTTTACTCTTCAGGTTTTTCCTTCTTTTCTTTTCTTGATTTAATTTTTCTTTCGCTTCAATTCTTTTCGATTCAAACATTAATTAGCATTCAGTGGAAGCGAGCGCTTCGCGATTCTTCAGGATTCATGGAGGATTTAAAAGTTTCCTCGAGAGGATGAAATTCCTATTGCCGACGATCTCGTAATAGACGCTTTCTTTCGCTGAATTTACTCACTTCAGGATTGTCGACAAAGTATAACGAGCACTGCTTTGAATATACATTCAGCACACGATTGATCAATTTCGTATTTATACCTCACTTTGAGAAGTTAAATACTTTCCTTCCGATTGCAATTAACTCATCCTTGGGAAGGTCAGGGTGGTGGGAGAGCGCGAACTTGTCGAATTTCGAAAGCTCGTTGCACGAGACGCTTGCACGCTTTACGCAAGCGATCGTCTCGTTGGACCGACAAGTAGGACAATTACTAGA